GATTATTTTTTTCGAAAATCCAACGAAAGGAATTGCTAGTGTTACGTATCTAGCTTAAGAAAAGTTTTTTTTTTTTCATTTATTGTTAGAATTTTATACATTTTTCGTTGTTTATATTCGTTTCTTCTTCAGAAACATGCATACATACACATGCATTTATTGTATACACAGGATTGAGATGGGCCTGGACCATTTAAAATATGGAGACCCCACCCTTCTCCGAAAGCCATAAAAACATATGGATAAAATCGATAAAACAAATAAAAATAGATTTTTCACTATTATCAAAAGAAACTTTAATTTATATCACCCTTACATCATTCTTTTTATAAAAAGACTAATTTTGGGGCTTTTTGTGCCTGGGATCCTGCCAAATGATTCTAATGGTTCCTCTCTATCTGGACTTACATTTCAAATAATTTAGAATTTTTAAAATCTTATATTATAAATTTTATTTTATTTATTCTGCAACTACTTTATAAATGAAAATAAATAAAAAGTTAAAAATTATACATAATTTATTTAAAATGAATTTTATAAAAGAAATTTTATACTTATTAAATTCCTAACTTTTGATCTATTTTTCAATCTTTATAATTAATAATTTACTGTTTACGTTTTAATAAAATATCATTAAAAAGTCATTACTATGTAATGAGAATATATGTAGACTATTATTTTAATAAATATTTATGTTAAATAAATAAATCCATATTCTGGCAAGATATAGGCTAACATACAGGTATAACCTGGTAGCATAGTGCTCTAAGCTGTAGTTTATATGTAAATCTGTCTCTCCACATAATTATTTTATTTCAAAAAATACAAATTAAACGCCATTAATATTTATAATACAGTAAAATAAATTGAAGCTACCAATATAAAATTTTTAAATGTTTTAAATTTAATGTGTTAGAATGAAATTTTATCTTAATTAAAGTAATTTTACATATATGAATACACGACTTAGAATTATCATAAATTACGGTTACCGATATAATGAATTTAAAAGCTTAATGTTTTCGTACAGATTATTGAAGAAAAATTAAATAATTTATCGGGAAATAAATTTCCAGATTAAATAATTTATTACTGGAAAATAATTTAATCAATACACTTGTTTAAAAAATGAGAAGAAACTCCACAAAACTTGTGAGATATGCATCGAAGTGATAACGTTACGCTATGTACTGTACAGTACGGTACATACGATCGATGGATAGTCGGACAGATAGGTTACTTACGTTATCGCTTTTTCGTATAAATAGAAAATATGTAAATTCTAAAGAATTTATTTAATAATTTAAAACGATACTTAAGTTATTAAAGATAAATCATTTAAGGGATTATCAATACATTACAACTGCTCTTATTAAAAATGTCAAGTACAGTACATACTTTACACGGACGGATATATAATTATCATTTTTTCAACCAAAAAGAAAAATTATTTTATTATTTAAAAAGGAAAATTTAATATATTTCCAGCTTTTGATAAAACTTAGTTCAGCATTGTTACACTTTTTTTTTATCACCTTTTCTACCTATGGAATATTCCAGATAAAGTCTAAATTGAATTTCAATATTCTAAAGATTACAGAGAATATTTTTAGAATTATTGTATAAGGTTTTAAAAAAGGGTGGATGAAGCATACAATAGATCTAAAAATCTTCGATTTTTCTTGCATCACGACTAGATAAGTCGATAGAACAAATAGTTCTATAGAAAGACAACTTAGAGGCTATATCTCTCAAGTGATTTCCTGCATTGGGCCAATGGGAGGCACAACTTAACAAGAAGGTTCTCTACTTCCTGTTTTCTATACCAACTGCATTAAAGATCAAGTTAGTCGTTAGTTCCTAGTACTACTATTATGACTACTACTTTTCTATATCTTCTTACAGAAAGTTTATTATCAATAAAAACTTTTTTCTCCATTAAAAATATATTTCTATACATACTAGTCACAATATCAGTTTATAAAAGAAAATTTATAGCAAAGTATCGATATATTTAATAAATTTTTAAGTTTAAAACATAATTCTTAATTTACAATTTTTAAAATAATTATTTTTATACCTAGACTATATAGGACTACATATATAGGAAAGGTGTATGTATGTGTGTGTATGTATATATATGCTTGTGTACTTGTATTTATATATTTGTGTATGAATATATATATATATAATATATAGTCAACCTCGATTTAGCACCATCATTTATTCATCTGTAAATCTGGAATTAAATGGAATGTGACGCTAAACTGAAGAACCTCAAACAATAAGAGTTATAAATATATACTGTACTGTGCATTAATAAAATATATATACACATATATTTTATAAATGAGCTATTTAGGATAAATAGTTCATTAATAAAATTCACAGTATCAGATGACCTGTTTAGGAATTCGTTATATCGAGATTTGAATGTGTATATAAGTATAGGCTATATAGTATGTACTGTACTGTACATACATACACAGGTATACGTGTGCATGTACAGTACATAGATGTTCGTGTCTACGTGTAGATGTATGTATAAGAACATACACAGAATTGCAAATTTATTAATATCTACTAAAATAATGTATTTACATTATTTTACATTCAATTTTAAAGCGAAACTTACAAAGTTTTCATGAATTATTTTAAAAATTAATGACATTTTAGAAGGATCTTGTCGTAAACAAAATAACAATTTATTATATGTTATTAAGATAATAAATTTAAAGAATTATTATGAAATAACCATAAACAAATAAATAATATATTACTTCAAATACGTTAGATTCTTGTTAAATATTAATTCCTTCTTTCTTATTAAAGATTTCAAAATACAAGCTTAAACTGAAAGCTTTATGTACAGTACAGTACTTTGAAATGAAAATAAATATTTCATTTTATAAAGTAAAAAAAATCCTGTTTTTATTTTTAAAAGCTTTATGCTTTAAAATAAAATTACGAAATAACTATTTTCTATTTTTAAACGCATTCTCATAAAGTTATATCTAGAATATATAAGTATTGTAGCTCTTGAATAAAGTTATAAGTGCATAGAAAAATTTTAAATAATGAAAAATACAAACAAAAATATTACATCTGCAAAGCTAAATAGAATAAAAGTATAAAAATAAGGATAGAATATAAGAAGATAAGTTGTAATGCGGAAGAAAAGAGGAATTTTAAAGAAATAATTCACAAAGTAAATAATGGAGAACAGGAAAACTAAACTATACAATGAAGTAGAAGAACATAAAAAAAAGAAAGAAAATAGATATAAGCTTTTTATAATTATAGTAGAGTCCCGATTATCTGGCATTCTATGTTATTCGGTCGGAAGTATTTTTTGCCTATTTTTATGCCAGACATAATACTTTTGATTGAAAACCAGTTTAGAATTGCGTGCAAGCATCCAGCAGTGATGTTCACCCCTCTATAAACATCTTACTACACGTAAAAACTTGTTTCTATAAAATCACGTATTCATCACATACTCTGCAGATGGTTAGAAATGAACAAATAAAGTTTTTGTAGAATTTTATTTCACTATTGAACTTATCTAACAATATCGTATTACATATGGTACCGTATTTTATGTTATTCTGTCCACAGCCATCCCTTTTAGACTGGATAATTGAGAATCTATTGTATTTCTATTTTCATTTTCTAAATTTCTTAGCATAAGAATAAATTTTTTAAACAAAAATTTTTATAATTTCAATTTTTCTGCAAAATATTTTCATGAAAAAATTAAATAATTTATCGGGAAATAAATTTCCAGATTAAATAATTTATTACTGGAAAATAATTTAATCAATACACTTGTTTAAAAAATGAGAAGAACCTCCACAAAACTTGTGAGATATGCATCGAAGTGATAACGTTACGCTATGTACTGTACAGTACGGTACATACGATCGATGGATAGTCGGACAGATAGGTTACTTACGTTATCGCTTTTTCGTATAAATAGAAAATATGTAAATTCTAAAGAATTTATTTAATAATTTAAAACGATACNGGTTCCTTTCTATTGCTGAAATGATAAAGATGAATAAAGAACATGCTTTAAAAAGATTAGATGTAATTAATCTTTTTTCATAAATGGAGGAAATATTCTGATTAGAAAATATACTTTGTCTTGATTATATCTCATTATACATGACAAATTACACAGCACAAAATGGTTTATCGTTGAACCTTCCAAACAGTGCAAGCTAACCTATATGTCTACTCATAAAGTGTTCAAAGAATGACTCCACCCATCGTTAAAGAGTCAAACGGCGCCAACAAGCGTCCATAACCCGAGGTAGACAACAGATAGAAGAGCTAAAATATGATTTATATGTCAACGACCTATACAAATTTATAAGAAACGAATGTTAATTAAGGCACGTATCGAATTCATATCTCAAGAGTATTTTGAAAATGAAATTAAAATTGTTATTTTAGATCAGATAAATATTCCATAAAAATTTAAGAAGAGTAATCTATACTATTGATTTTAATATTAATTTAAATGCCATTTTTACAAAAAATAATCTACAGATTTTTTATAAAAAATCGATTTAGATTTGTAACGTTGTATCTAATTAAATTTTTAAATAAATAAGTAGCACATAAACAGATATTTTATATTATAAACTAATAAATTAATTTAGACTTTTAAAATTGTAGGAGAGGAGACATATGAAGTTCAGGAAATGAAGTATATAAAGATTCGTAAAATGACATTTAATAACTTAAAAAATATATAAAAATATAAATAAATATTACTCACAGAATATCTTTTTCGTTGAATTTTTTTCTAAAAATCCTAATTCTGTAATAAAATATTATCAAGACAAGACAAAAAAGTTGTAATTGGTAGATATATTTCTGCTCAGAATCTTGCCGAAAACATTACAATTTCGATCAAAAAACTTCATTTTGAATGCCAACTTCCACTAAATTGTTTTAAAAAATAATAATAATAAAAAAATTTAAAAACTTACAATCAAAACCTCGTTCTTCTTTCTGTTTCGTTAGAGGCATTCCTAATGGTGATGCTCCACCCGAAGGGTCCAAACAAGGTACTTCGTACGAAGAACTGGACGATGAAGTGGAGCAAACTGCTTTATTTGGACTAGATATTTGTCTTTTATCTTTTTTCCAACTATGAGTGAATTTTCGAGGAAATTTGCAGACGCTTAAAGTCGGTTTCGGTGATTTAGAATTACGTACAAATATAAACTACGACCATTCTTAGTTATCTCTCTCTCTCTCGATTATTAATTTTCTTCTGCACACTACTGATACTCTCATACAAAGCTTAGTTCAATATTTATTCAACAAGATGCGCCTACTAAAGTAAAAATCTAAGATATTCAAACATTCTAAAAAATCTATTTTTAACTTTAGCTCTAAAGCTAAAGTTAAATCTATTTTGATATACGCCATTTAAAGATTAATAAAGCTGAAGAATTATTACCAATGAATTATGCACAGTTTATAAAT